TATCTGATGTGGTATAATTTAGAATCAAGGTATTGAACTGAAATACCTTCACCCTCACTTAGGTACTCTGCAAATGCTAGCAAATATATCCCACAATCCCTGATAAATGAGGAAAATAAATTACTTATTAAATAGGATACTGTTTTTAAAAAAAAGTATATTAAGAGAATGACAACATTTACTACAGTCATATTCTTCAGAAAACAAAATGACAATATAACTCTAAATACACTAGAAGGTATTCAAATACAATAGAAGGTATTCAAAGTGTAATGGTATGCAATTTTTGATGGGCAAAGAATCTGTGATTTTGTGGGTCCTACTAGGAGATGAAGTTGATTTAGGAGTAATAGAATTGATTTGGGGATAAAGATTTTGAATTAGGGATAATCAAAGAAGGCTGAAAAAGTGGAAATAGGGAAGAGAAAACGTGAAAAGTGGGAAAAAGTAAATTTTATAGGTGTAAATTATATTTTGCTATTTATTAATTAAATATATCCATAAATTATAAATAAAATATAGTGTAGCTATATTATTTTAATATAATATGTAGTTTGACATTTTCTGTAGTTTTTCCTAGAAAAAATTTATCATGTGAGAGGCACAAATATTACATGACAGACCATACTTGTATGAGATCCTCTCATACTTTGCCAAGTGTGGTTTGGGTCCCACTACAAAAATTAGGGGCTAAAAGGCTTCATCTTTTTATTCTCTTTCTCCTATTCCATATTTTCTTCTTTCATTCCCTTTTTTTTTTTGAAATTTTATTTTTTTCGTATGAATTATATTTATTTATCAAAAGTTGAAACTTAATATTTTTGGTAGGATTAGCCGTGATTTAGTTTGGACCATTTTCCAATTAAATTAATTAATTTGTTTTTTTCAAATGTTGAAATCAAGTCAAATTAATTAAGTCAATTTTTTATCACTTTAACTTTTTATTTTTATTTTTGCAATGTGGTTTTGGTCGACTTTTAGAAAATATATGATAATATAAAAAATTGATCTAGTTATATATAGGATCCTTCAAAAAAATGTTTGCATTATCTAAGAATTTAATCATTACTAATAAATATGATAAATTCGTTCCAACGATTTTTTTTGGGTAAAAAGTTAAAAATTTAGCTGCAATATACTATGTCTTGATGATGTTTGATTTAAATAAAAATAATCAATTAAAAAACATGAGTTATTTTGAACATGAAAATGCACTCTTGACAATCAAGATAAAAATATAAATTAAATTACGAAGTAAATGTAAACAATTTGATTATTATAACGAGAAACACATGAATAGAACAAAGTGATTTAAAAAAATAACATTTTTTAAAATTTTTAAAAATATATATATATAGAAAGAGAAAATTATAATTATTACGGACCATTAATTAGTAGAACAATATGATGAAAAAAGTTACATTAAAAAATCAATGTATAATCTTTTTATAAACGAACACAAAAACGAATAACTCCACAAAATATCTAAATTCTCCTATTCTTTATATATCATTCTATAAGATACTCACATCAAAATTTTATGTTTTTTTAATTGTAATATGGGGGCATGTGTCAAGTGGGCCACGTTGTCAAACATGAAAACAGTCACCTTCAAAACTTTTCTTCCTAGACTTGTTCTCGAAACTTAATTATTTTCTCAATTCACTTCACTTATTTATATATTTTAATCAAATTATTTTGCATAAATTGAAACGAAAGAAATATAATTTACATACTCCAACTTCAGAGAATTACATAACAAGAAGACACGTCACACGAGTCAGCAAGTTGAAGGTATAATATTTGGTCACTACAGCTAACCAGTCATCGTGCACTCACATTTCATGATTATTTCCAATATAGTTTTATCTTTTAAGTCATATACATATTATTGGTGTACACAATTGTTTATATAATTATATCATCCAAATTATAGGTAAGCTTTTTTAAAATATGATGTTTTATAAGTTGGAAAATAAAACAGGACTTGGTAATGGAATGATATTTATATATATTGATGGTGTATTATTTTATATATCCCAATTTATATATATAACATAGTTCAAATATTAAAGAGTTAAGGTTTCTACTTTTGACAGTGAATATGAATATAGAAGCTTTAATTTATTTATTTTTAAAATTAACATTTATGAAACAACATAAAAAAATATAATAAGTCACAATAATTAATAATTTAATAAAATAAAATTTGAAAAATTGCAATACAAAAGTTTTTCAACTCTCAATATACCTAAAAAATGTGACTAAACTGAGATAGAGATAGGACTGTTCATGATTATGGTTAAAAAATCAAAATGAATCGCAATCCGAACCAAACCGATTTAAAAAACCTATATTTGATTGATTTGGTTATGCTTGATTTTAAATTTTGATCACCGATACTATTTAATTTGGTTTTAATTTTACTAAATAATAACCGCAAAATAACCAAATCGAACCGATTATATTTTACTTGATATATATTTTACTTAGAAAAAATAAAAAGTTAATGAGTGAAAGTTTCCACAACGTGCAAATATTTAAACATGATAAAATTTCCTAACTACCCTCAACCATTAGCTAAGTCTACGCTCTATATAAAGTGTACATCATTCTTTTGCCTATCATGTCCCTTACTTAGCAAAAATATGGAACTCCCAATCCTTGTTATTATCTTCATCTCATTTTTCTTGTTCATCATCAAGCCATATATCAATTCTAAATCCAAAAAGCTACCACCAGGTCCTACTGGCCTTCCAATAATCGGCTCACTGTTGAAACTAGGTACAAAACCTAACCAATCACTAGCCGAGCTAGCCAAGAAACATGGTCCTCTCATGACTCTACAGCTCGGCTCACTCACCACCATAGTAGTCTCCTCAGCCGAAGTAGCCAAAGAGATTCTCCACAAACACGACGAAACTTTCTCAGCTCGTATCGTCCCTGTAGCCGTAGCTGCTCAGCCGAACCCTGAAGCCATGCACGTTGGCATGGGTTAACGGCGATCACATGTGGAAAAAAAAAGAGAAGGTTTCTCAGTACGCAAATGTTTAATAATCAACGGCTTGATTTGCTTCAAGAACTTCGTCACCAAAAGGCGGAACAACTAGTGAGCCATATAAGGAGCCAGTGTGAGAGTGGCTCGGCTGTTGATATTGGACGGGTCACGTTCGCGACTACGTTGAATTTAATATCAAACACGATTTTTTTGATCGATATGGTGGATTCGAAGTTTAAAAAGGCTCATGAGTTTAAGGAATTGGTATGGACGATTATGGAAGATGTCGTGGTACCGAATCTATCTGATTTTTTTCCGGTTTTGAAGTGGTTAGATTTGCAAGGAGTACGGAGGCGTATAAGGCCAGCGTATTTAAGGTTGCATGAGATATTTGAAGAAAATATTGAGAAGATAGTAGAAACTAGAGCTGCAGGGATGAAGAAAAAGGGGATTTTTTTGGATATACTTCTTGATCAATGTGAAGATGATGGGTCTGGATTTGGTACAACCATCAAGCCTCTTATGGTGGCAAGTATTTCTTTCATTTAATTTTTTTATATCTGTGATGTACGAGCCAGTTTATGTAAATCTTGACTCTTGAGTCTTGACTAATTTCTCTTGATTTGCATGCATCTCTCAGCTAACTAGATAGAAAAGATTTTTTTTCTCAATCACATGAAAAAAGAAATTGTTTATTTTGAGAGGTGAGAGGAAAGTATTAATTAATCCGTACTTTTATTAAGTTCGGACTTTTGAAACTTGTAATAATCTGAAATTTGTTTATCACCATATTTGTGCATATAAAACTTATGTTGTTCATCTTGTATTCTTAAGATACTTAGAACAAAACTTTGAAGAACTTGGTAAGATACAATAAAGTTTAAGAACATTTTCTCAACTAGAAAATTAAAACTAGTAGAGAAACTAGAATCAGAAACAAATTAGAAAAAATATACGCAATATTTTTTCTTAAAGAAGAATTGTTGTCAATCTGTGTTTAAAGAATCTTATTATATTGATTCTAACAAACTTTGCAGAAACACGAAGTTACCAAAGTTTAATGAACCAGTGAAGAACAGAAGAACATAAATTAATTCACAAATATAAAATCTGTAACACATACCAGAATCTGGAAAAACAGAAAAAAGATCAAGTCCATTGAATGCACAGTGTCCCCTTAAGGAAATTATTCCCCTCTAGTATCCGAGGTTTGATTTGGAATATGTCCTCCCAGGATAGAATGATCTCAATCACCAATGTATTGATACCCAAAACGCTGGTGTCAGCGAGCCACTCAACGGCAGTAAAGTACACTTAGAATACTAGATTTAGTAGTAGAAG